ATTCAATTTCCATGAGTTTGTAGGTTTTCTGCAATTTGTGTTGTGATGTACCAAATGTCGCTGTAATGATAAAAGGCACACTTACTGAAAGTAAAACTAAGTATTTAATGTAGAAATTACTCACAAGACACCAAACAAGTAACCCAGATGAGCCGAGTAGTTTTCTGCTGCTGAACTGGAAGCGGAAAGCAGGAAAAAAGGGCCAAAACTTCAGAAATTCAATCTTTTATACCTTCCCCCGTAACGCCCCCCTAGCCATGCCCAAAAGTGGGCCTGGCTAGTGACGTATTTCACCGCCTATGTACGTATATGTCTTTAGTCATGCCTAAAGTGGGTGTGGTTAGCGGTGTGGTAAACTGCTCTTTTATTACCTCATGTGTATGCGCCTTTAGTAAGTCACATGGTTATTGGCGGCATTGTTTTCCTCCTACAGTGTTGTTGTTGAATTCTAATTTTAAAGCATGGTGGTCTGATAAGATGCATGGAGTTATTCCAATTCTTTTCTTCTATACCTATTATTCTTAGTTTTGGTCTTTTCATGGTGTCCCATATTTCCTGGATGTTTTGTGTTAAGGATTTGTTGGACTTAAGATTTTCTTTGGTTGATGAATCCATTTCTCCTAGTGTATCTTCAACACCTGAGATTCTCTCTTCCATCTCTTGTATTCTGTTGGTAATGCTTGTATCGGTAGTACCTGACCATTTGCCCAGCTTTTCTATTTCCAGCCTTTCTTCAGATTGTGTTTTTTTTTTTATTGTCTCTATTTCAGTTTTCAACCCTTGCACTGCTTGCATTGTTTCTTGCAATTTTCAGTTTATCTTCTTGTCCATTTGTTGCATTTTATGAATTTTTTGGTTTGCTTTTTCTTCCAGTTCTTGTATTTTTTGGTTTGTTTTTTCTTCCATTTCCTGCCTTTTTTTGGTTTGTTTCTTCTTCTTCCATTTCTTGCATTTTTTGCTTTGTTTTTTCTTCCACTTCTTGCATTTTTTGCTTTGTTTCTTCTTCCATTTCCTGCCTTTTTTGGTTTGTCTTTTCTTCCATTTCTTGCATTCTTTGGTTTGTTTTTTCATCCATTTCTTTGAGGGATTTTCCTATATCCTCTTTTAGGGCCTCTATCATTTTCATGAAAGCGGTTTAAGGTCATTCTCTTCTGCTTCATTTGCATTGGAATGCTGGAGTCTTGCTGGTGTGGAGTCTCTAGAATCTGGCAGTGTCATATTTGTTTTTCTGTTGCTGAGTGTGGTTTTGTATTGTCTCTTTCCCATCTCTTCTTCTAGTGGGTGCAGAAAGAGCCCCTTACTGCTCTGGTTGTTAGGGGACCAGAGTTTCCTTTTGGTGGGTGCTAAGAAGTCCAATAATCTGGTGGTTCTTCTATTCCTTGTCCAAATTCTGGTCCTGTGGGTGGAGAAGAAGACCAGGAATCCGGGGTGCTTAGTCTCCCACCTGGTCCCCTGGTTTCCTGGTCTCGTTGGTGGGAGAGAAGACCTGGAGTCTGGGTTGTTTGGCTCCCACTGGGATTGGAAGCTCTGTGCAGTTCCCAGGCGATCCCCAGGCACTGGAACACAGGCCCAGATGCAGGGCCTGTTGTACCTGGTCCTGCCGGAACAGCTGGCCTATTTCCATTTTCTTAACTTTTCAGGTTTGTTATTTTCATACTTTAAACACACATATATATCATATTAATACATATGTTCTACTTTATGTATATATGTACATAATATATAAATAATAGTATGTGTGTATATGTATATAATCTTAGGATATTTATCCCTTTCCTTCCATGTTGTCTGTGAGTTCTCATGTCCCATCTTTCTCTTCAATTGTGAGTAAATCAAAATCCGTGCTCAGAAACGAATATGTGAAATAGATCTCCTCTATAACCAGACCTCCAAATGAAGGCTGAAAATTACAGAATCATGAAGAGTAGGGTTGCAATCTAGGCCGAAAGGCTATTTCTCTCTTAGAAATTAATCCAGGTATGTTTTATATTTTCTTTCTTCCTCAGAGAAAGAGGGGTTATTTCTATCCTTTACCTGTTCAGATACTCCTAATACCTTGGTTCTCTCCCTTGAGATTTCGTACTATATTTACTGTTTTATGTTCTGTTTTTGTAATAACACACATAGAACTGTAAAACATAGACAAAATAATTTTGATTTCCTGCATAAAAAACATTCTAAATTTAACCAATATAAAACAACACACAATTTACAGATCCCATTATCTCCATGAGTCTGGAGATTTTCCTAGTGTAGCTGAGTCTTTATCTCAGCATGTAAGGATGAAATTATCTTAAGTGGAAACATAATCTGCTCTGATTCTCAACTGTCTCTTCTAAAACTGACAAATTTATCTTATTGTATCTATAAGACTCTCTCAGATACTAGAGAGCACTTGCCATCCATTGCCATGTGACTATGTTCATTTTATCAAGACTGTTCTCTTCTCAGTTAGCAAAACTATTTGAAAAAGTTTACCTGTCCCTCATGCTTTGACTGGCGTTTGTGAACTTATTCCTCATGCTGGATTGCCTTCCCCAGCCTTAGTAAAAGAGAAGGTGTTGGTCCAAATGACTTGAAATTTAATAGGCCAACACATGGTGAGGATCTACCTTAGTCAAGTGAAAGGAGAAAGAAGAAAGGAATGTTTTACCAGCCTGGAAAACCTGCAAGTAAAGCATGCAGTAGGTGAGAGGACACTAATTCTGAGAGATATGAAAAGAACAGCAATAGAGGTATTTTTAGTCTACTGTTTATGTAATTCTTGGGAACAACAGATGAACTAGAAGCATCAGGTAACTATATATAAGTTACACAGCCAGAGAATGTTTAAGGAGAGATGCTATACAGAACTGTGCTGTGTGATGTGCCCTACTCCAAAAGTGCCCATTAAAGGAGAGGAAATATGGTTGGCACTTTCTTCAGTAAGGTAATTCATAACTTATGCAACCACATGGGATGGCCCAGGAGGGAGGTTATATGGCAGTCTTCATGAAATATACTCAATTCAGCATAAATCACTAATTTTATTACTATTATTATTTATTTTGCTGGATATGTCTAACTGCATTTAGAAAGATTTCAGACCTAGGTACTTTCTAAAAAATCTTGAAAAGTCTCTCATCAATGAATCTCCGGTGTTCTATATTTGACATAGTTTGCCCAGAAACAGTCTATGCATATTTTAACAAGAAGGATGTAATTATCATAATCATAGGATATATCAACATTGGTAGAAAGAAATTCATTTTAAATAAACATTTACTGTTTATAAGAAAATGGATGGAACAGGAAAATTGTGTATTAAGTGAGGTACCCCATGGTAAACAATCCTGATCTGAAAGTGGAAGATGAAGTATAGTGGCTATAGTTTACAAACATGAAGAAAGGCAGGGGATAGGAGAAAGGAGTAGGTGGGAAAAGGGATCAAACAAAATCTATGAAAATGTCCCAAGGAAACCTGATACTCTGTGTATTAATTTAAAAATAAAATTAAGAACTCATTTTAGTGGCTTAAAATCTATTTGAGAATATTGATGAAGCTATTTATTAAAGGAAAAGGAGAAAGTAGTTTATTTTTCTGATTACAAAGCCAGGATATAAAATGTGTACTAAGTAAGACAATATTCACTTGAGGAGACAAGAGGCAAGCACAGGGTCTGTGGGATGTTATCTACTGCTAGAAATTCTATGTGAAATGGAAACTATTTTTGTGTTTGTTTAGGGCTACCATCTTCACTTGAGTGTAGTACTCCACTCCAGAGGGTAACACTCAGGTAGCTACCACATGATTGTTACCTTTTTGAGTAGAGTAATGCTTACAAAGGACATCATATTTCATAGTCATGGGCATGAATATATTTAGTTTAGTTAACAGGGCTACTGTATTTTTCTTAATTCCAGTGCTATGTTCAGATCTCAGTTAGTTTGATTAGGTTTTGAGAAGGAAGACATGAACTGAAGTTTCTTCAAGAAAGGCACATTCATAGGTTTCACAAGAATCTGTATACTCTTGAATAAAGGAAGTGTCTTGTTACTATTTAAACATGAAATATCTCCAATAGACCCATGTGTTAAATGTGTGATCATCAGCCAGTAGCGTTATAGTGAGAAATGGTAAAAATTTTAGAAGAAGCGATAGTTGAAGTAAGTAGGCTACTGGGAGCATGTCATTGGGGAAATGTTTTGCTGATTCCCTGCCCAACCCACCACATATTGCCTGTTCACTATGATCCATATAGACTCTTATGCTTTTTGCCACTCAAGTGGTCTGCCTCATTGCACAATCAATAGAGTCAAGGAGTCTGTGCTGAAACCTCTGGAATAAGAATCCAAAATAAATTCTTTACCTCCTACTTTGACTTTCTTGGATATGTATTATGAAAAATCTACCACACATGTTTACAAAAAGTTGAGATGTGCCATTCCTTCTACACATTTCAATGTTGTTCATTTTCAAAGACAGTGATTCAGTAAATCAGCAACTTGTTCTGTCTTAGCAATGCTCAGTTTAGTTTGTAAGCTCTCACATGTTTCTCCTGTCTGTGAAAGTTCCTTCTGCATCCTACAGATCTTCTTTCAGAATTCAAGACAAGCATTTCCTCAGAGTTTTGGTTGTTCTTCTATACTGGAAAAATAGGGTCTATCTTTAAAGTATATTCATATATTTTAAAAATTGTTTGTTATTTTGGTTTTCCATTTGATATAATATAATAGAGATCACTAGTACTCCAAATTATTTTCATAGGCCCATATCTGTCACCTAGTGAACTTCTATACAATTTGAATTTATTTCTGAAATTAACATTCAAAGTTAACATTGATTTGTGAATATTTGCATATCATCTTTCTGAATTCACATGTTTCCTAGAGCTCTATTTGCAGAGAACTGAAATCATATGATTATAATTTTCCCCCAGAAACAGTGTCAAAGTATAATACATTTCTATTTCTTTGGGTCTTATTGAATTTCTGTCAACAATTTTGTTTTTTAGGATTTGTGCCTTAGATGTACTACTACTTTTGATTACAAGAGCTAGAAGTAAATCTAAGAAAATTCATGCCATCTGGGAGAGATGAAACACCAGCTTGCCGAGCCACTAGGAACCAATGTGAGGTAAAGAATCATCTTGAGGGGTTGTTACTATTAGAGTCTGGTTGGTGTGACTCCAAATGGTTCATTTATTCATGATCCTGTAATCATTCCCCACTCTTCCCACACTGGAATATGTTTGTACAAGTCTGGTATTAAAGCAAAGATCAATTGTCTCTAACACATTTTGAGAAGACTCTGGTTCACCCTATTATATTAGAGTCCTAATTAGTTTATGGGTGTGGATTTGAACTGATAAAATAAACATCACCTACATATGTAGTATGCACATGCTCTTAGCTACTCTATAATCAAACCATTCTATAGTTATCATGACTTTCAAATCAGGCTTCTTGAAATATTGCTCCCAAAGCGACTTTCCAAATATTTGTAACAGAAAGGAAAGACTTGAATTTGAGATTATTTATTATAAACTCCTTATTTTTCCAAATGTAACTGGGAACATTACATGAGAGAAAACCAAAGGAAAGCTCAGAGAAGTTAGTGTTATACCTATTCTTCCAGCTTTAAATTTTCTGATCATCACTATTCTCTATCTACTTGAGAGTAATATTTTAAGAAACCTTCAATCATTGACAGATTTAGTCAGCCAGAAAAACAGATAAACAGAAAAACCTCAACCAACTGACAAGGGAACATCTGCAACAAGCACTTGGACTTGTAAGCCTCTTGGTCCAGAGGAGGTGAAACTACTGTTCTTTATGAAAGGATAGCAGGCTGTCAAGCTGCATTTATATAAGGAAATCCAGCCAAAAGGAGGTACTTAACCAGGAAAGTCTTGTTGTCCCTGTAGATCCATGGCATCCATAGCCCATCTGGAAGTACCAGATGGCTCAGCCTGGGCCATCCCCTTAGTGTAAGTAGGTACTACCAATCATGAATAAATGGAAACCCAGACAATATCAGTTAAAATAATCAGATCAAATAGCAGAATGAGAATTCTGAAGATTCAATTGTCATTAAAACTGTAGCTCACACAATTAGTCCAGGATCTATATAGTACATGAATGCAAGTTAAATGTCTGTTTAAACAGAAGATGTAAATAACCCCAGATTCTCCTATTATCATAATGAAAATGTTCTGGACAATATAGAAAATATACTTTTCATTAACAGTTATAGCCACAAGGACTTCTGAACAAAAGTCCTTTAAGCTAAAAATAAATCATTAAATAAGAAATTTTACAGCATCAGAAAGGAACAAAGAATTAAAGAAAAAGCAGAAATATATTACACACGTGTAAGCACACATGCTTATGTAAAATAATATACTACCCTCACAAGGCTTATACACAATAGTTGATGCTTAAACAAGAAATAAAAAATGAACAAACTACAATATTTGTGAGTGGACAGGATAAATGAATTTAAATAGTTGGTTGTTTCCTTACTTCAATGTAATTGGCAAAATATTAACACTGATAAACTGTAACAATCTATGTATTTATAACATTGCAATTGAAAAATATTATATGACAATTGTACAGTCCTATAGTATATATAGTACTATATAGTTAAGCAACTATAAATAATAAAACACATTGAACAATGAACAGGAAAGCAAGTAAAAAGAAACAAAGGAAAGAGAACCAAAAGAAACAAACATAAAATGAAGTGACTAGTAGTTGAAAACATATTGCTAGCCATCGTAAAGGTAAATGGTCAAAATATACTACATACCAAGGAGAGTTTATGGAAGTATATAAAAATATAAGCAGATTGTGTTCTGCTTGCAGAAGACTGACTTCATAACTAATTGTAGTAGGGAGAGAAAAGAATGAAAACATGAGTCATTCCACCAGCCAATCAAAACTGCAGTATTCTCAAATAGCATGCCTTGTACATTCTAAGATTTTTATTATCAATACTGGGTAATTAAGTACAAATTTTCAAGGGCTTTGAAAAATAGATCTATTTACTATTTTCAGTTTTCCCTTTGCTTTAAATAAAAAGCATTAATTCTCAAAAAATGTACAACTAATTCATTTCACATTTATTTTTTTAAAATTTAAAAATTTTTCTTTTTTATTTATTTGAAAGTGTTTTTTTTCATTTTACACACCAACCACAGCTCCCACTCCTTCTCTCTTTCTTCTCTCCTCTCACCTTCTATTGAGGTTCCCCAGCTATCAGTTTTCCCCATCATGATCTTGATCCCTTTGCTCACATAATCCCTCCTCCTACTCTCTGACTGGACATTAGGAGCTCAACCCTGTGCTTAGCTGTAAATCTAAGTATCTGTTTACATCAACTACTAGATGAAGTTTCTGTGGTGACAATTAGGTTGGTTATCAATCAGATTACAGGGGAAGGTCAGTTCAGGTACCAGATCCATTATTGCTAGGAGTCTTAGCTGGAGACATCCTTGTGGATTCCCGGGAATTACCCTAGCACAGATTTCTCATTAATCCCTTAATGACTTCCTCTATCAAGGTTTCTCTTTCCTTTCTCTCCCTCTCTGTCCTTCCCCCAACTCTACCATCCAGTTTCCTCATGTTCTCCTCTACCCTCTCACTCACCTCTCTCTTTCCCCCTTGCTCCCAATTTACTCAAGAGATCTTATCAATTTTCCCTTACCAGGGGTATCCATGCATGTCTCTAAGGGTCCTCCTAGCTTCTCAGTGGTTAAGGATTGCAGCCTGTTTATCCTTTCCTATATGTCTATTATCCACTTATGACTGAGTACATACTATGTTTGTCTTTCTGGGTCTGGGTTAACTCATTCAGGGTGGTTTTTTTGTAGTTCCATCCATTTGCCTGCAAATTTCAAGATGTCATTGTTTTTTGACTGCTGAGTAGTACTCCATTGTATAAATGTATCACATTTCTTTAATCCATTCTTTGGGTAAGAGGCATCTAGGTTGCTTCCAGGTTCTGGTTGTTACAATTAATGCTGATATGAACACAGTTGAGCTAATGCCCTTGTGGTATGAGAGTGCATTTTTTGGGTATATTCCCAAGAGTGATATTGCTGGGTCTTCAGATATATTGATTCCCAATTTTCTGAGAAACAGTCATACAAAGTGGCTGTACAAGTTTGCGCTCCCACCAGCAATGGAGGAATGTTTCCCTTACTCCATATCCTCTCCAGCATAAGTGTTTTTGGTCTTAGCCATTTTGACAGGCATAAGATGGTATCTCAGAGTCTTTTTGATTTGTATTTCACTAATGGATAAGGATATTAAGTGTCTTTTGGCCATTTGAGATTCCTCTGTTGAGAAATCTCTGTTTAGGTCTGTGCGCTATTTTTAATTGGATTATTTGCTATTTTTATGTCTACTTTCTTGAGTTCTTCATATATTTTGGAGATCAGTCCTCTATCCCTCGATCATATGTGTGGTTGGTGAAGATATTTTCCAATTCTGTAGTCTGCCATTTTGTCTTATTTACTATGTTCTTTGCTTTACAGAAGCTTAAAATTTTAATCTAAGTATATTTATCCATTTGTTGACAGAAGAAATGAAAACAGAGAAAACGTTCTCAACAATTAGGTGTCATATAAAAAGCCCAGAAACTCTGTTTTGTGAACTGATTCTCTCCTTGTTTCTGCTTTTGTTTTACTTTTTTTGTAGCATTTCCAAACTCACAAACATAAAACAAACTTCTTTCGATGCAAGCCTTTACTGTTCTACACTGACTTTTCAGCAGGTTGGCATTTAGGTAAATAACTCTAAAGAGGGCCTCAAAATGACTGCAGCCCAGGTACATAGGGAACTGAGCTGTCAAGTCAATCCATTTAGTGGATTACTATGAGAGAGGAATCTATTTTTTATTGTTCCACCTCTCATATTGGTGATTTGGAAATAATAATATTACTTTTCCTGAGGAACAGTGGTTAAAGGAAAATTATTTTTTCCTCACTACTAAAAGTAGGGACGGTAACAAGAAAAATAAATGATTCAGACACTGATATTGGAATTCAGGCTTCAAGCTGAAGATCACAGAAGCAAAGCAGCTGGCCAGTAGCTCTTACCTCTAGCTCAGGCTGAAAGTAGGAGCTCTTCAACAAGTCACAAAATGCTGCCTCTCCTCAGTGTGGCAGGAAAGCAAATGCCTCTCTGAGACCTTGCTTCTGTCTTACATACTTTCCTAATGTGGGGATTAAAGGTGTAAACTATAATTCTCTTTAAGACTGATTCACTCTTGTGTAGATCTGGGTGGCCTCGAACTCACAGAGATCAGTCTATTTCTTTTTTCTCTACCATGATACTTAATAATTTTCATATAATAGACCTATTTACATTTTCATTTGAAATTTTTAATGTTTTTGTAGCGATAGCAGGATAAGAAAATCCATATTTTAGAGCTTTTGAGGATAAAAACTACTGACGTTGCTTTCTGTCTTACTTAGTTGAGGTAATTTCTGTTAATCTAGAGCTCTCACAGAGGATAAATTAAGACAGGCGAAGCAGAGAACTATAGGAGAGTCCCAACTTTTGAACATCACAACATGTACAGCCTGGAAAGCAATAGGTATGTGTTCCATTTTTGAGCAGCTACCTCACAGCTTAGGCTATGAAACTGTATCAACATATTTGGAAAGCAGCTGATAGTTGTGCATTTTGTTACATGTCTCTATGTGACCACCTATTTTATGTCACCAAAACTAAAGGGAAATTTAGGCTGTAAGTGAAACAAGAGAACCTGCTAAACTTTGTTTACTTCTTTTGTTATCTTGATGACCTGTGACTTGGACTCATAACTCTTTCTGTACCTCCTTAGAATTTCTCTGTACAGAGAGTACCATTTAGTCCTAGTATGTGTCAGGTGGTTACAAGCACTTCTGTGGTGGTTATTTTCAGGTTTGTCTAGGATTACTATGTAGAGATTCTCTCTAGGTCTTTTCTTTTTCATACATGTTATGGAATTATTATGTCTTATATTTACTATGTAGTTTCGTTGTTACTTTTTTGCTTGCTTGGATAGTTTGACCTGTATTTGAATATATTGCATTTTGTATGGTCCTTTTACTCCTATTTTGATTAGTGAATGTTTTATATATACTTCAAGTTTTCAGTAATTTTTAAATCGTCTATTATTGGTACTGCATTGGTTTAAAGATTGTTATTTTTATTGCTTGCATATTTATTTGCATATATACATTATTTACCTTCGTTATCTTTTTATCATTATCTTTGATTTGTAATGCCATGGTTTCTGTGGTCACTGCAGCAGGCCTTCATCTTGGAGAAGAAGAAACCAAGCCTATGTCCACATTGTAGTATAAAGTAATCTTGTTTCTGAGAAGATTACTCTTTGCAACATTATTTCTACTGAACATCATGTAGACTGCCATATGCAGATATTATGAGTGACTGGAGTGATTCATTCAACAACTGACGTTTGTGGTATACAAGGTAGCAGGGTAATGAAAATTGGTATCCTATATCTATAAGGAAGAGAGACAAATGGGGATGCTTGTTCTCTCTCAGTCCTAAAATCTGTGACATTGTATGGATAGCGAGGAAATAGGTAATAATGCAAGGAAAGACTAAGAGAGAAAGAAAGATCAGGGCAGTAAAAGGAATGTAAAAGTAATTACTGCCATTCAGGCCCTTTGAGAAGTTTATTCTGATTATTCATGGAATGAGTATATGGGGGGATTATTAAATAAAATGCCAGAGGAAATAGGCTAGTGTCATCACCTTCGGATATACTGTGTGTGGTGTGTCACTTCAGGAGGTACCATCCATTTAACAAAAAATATGATTGGTACTTCTTTGAGTGAGATAACTCACATCAGCTACCACTGCAATACTAGCCCCAAAGAAAAGGGAATTGTTACCTATACATTACTTGAGTCTTACAACCAACTACTTTTTGTTAATTAAACTCACAGGACACTTTGAAGAACATTCTATGTAATAAGGTGTAGGCAATGAAGTTCCCTGAGAATAGAGTCATCTGAAGGTTAATTGCTTTGTATTGATGTTATGAAGAAAAGGTTGCTACCTTCAACGATGCTGTGTACAGTACCCCACTCAGTAAGGCATTGTTCTTCTATGCTTATATACTGAACAGTGCCTTTCTGTGTAGAGTAATGTGCAACATGGACAACGTTTGTGGTAGTTTTGATAATGGGTTTCAGTCACAGATCGGTAATGAACATTCAGTGTTGGGCAGTTTCCATGTACTGTCTTGTGTATCTCTTGAAAGATCAGCATCAGAATCTGAGGGTTTCTAGGAAATATACTTTTTGTAGTTTCAAGTTATTGTTACTTTTAATCCACAATGGACTCTTTTACATTTTAGTCATTCATTATATAATACAGACATAATTTATGGCTTTTCAAATTATAAAAATTCATACCTGTATGCTTTTCTAACAATATTTGTTCCTTATACAAGTAAATGCTGCTGCTTCCCTCTAGGTAAAACACACTCATATTTCTTTCAGTATTCCTGTGTGCTCTTAATAACATCATATCTATCATTATCTGTTAAAATCATATCATTACAGGTTAAAATACTGGTAGAGACAGAGATAAATGGGGACATCAGATGGTATTGTTTTGTTACATTTCTGTCTTAGGAAATGTGAGGTATCTGGATGTTCTCTTGCTAGTAAACTACTTGATATGACAAGTCTTCTCTAATATTACTTCTTATTTCAAATTTAATGTCTTTAATTACTATGTATCTGTTTAAAACCTGCAATGTCTCTCTTCAAAACATATCTCAGAATAAGTTTTCTATATTTAAACCACACTTGTCTTCATTCTGATACTAGTCCATGCATTTAATTCAATTTGTTCCAGTTTCAGTTTGCTGAGGGAAGTTCAGGCAACTAGCAGGATATATCTCAGAAAGGAAGATGTTAGATTATACTGATAATCATGTATCAAGATAATAATCCAGGAAACCCAAGAACTTAGAACAGTATATGGGCATTTTTAGGCTATAAGATTTTCTATTGTGCTAACCTGTCTTGATGACTCAAATGGGATTTTCTTCACTCCAGACTGTGAGTAGGTAAAGGGATGCCCATTCTCTCCATTATAACATAAATTATTATATTCTTTGCTTCAGTGATCCTGCATGGGTATCATTCTCATTTTATTGCTAAGAAGTTGAGGATCTTTAAGTGCTAAGGTATGAAATAATAAATAAACATATGCATATATGCTATTATTTTGCACCGTAATGTGTCATATATATGTTAGTACAGAGTTGAGTGCCTTGTCAAAATCTAGAGATACAGATTATAGAAGCACAGAATAGCACCTAATAAAAATGCCACAGCCACAGAAATAAAAAACAACATCAAGATTAACTGGCCTAAGTTAATGTTACAATTTTTGTTGATGGTTAATCTGGCAGTTGGTGAATAATAGAGAATATAATTCATAAGGCCTATTAATGTAAATATGGAAAGAGTTATAAGAAGGTAATTCTTCTTTTCAGTTTTAGGACTCGACACTTGAAAGCAGAAAGATCAGGAGTTCAGGGAGTATGAGGCCAGCCTGGGATACATGATGAGATCCTATCAAACATATGTGTGTGTGTGTGTGTGTGTGTGTGTGTGTGTTCAAACCATATAAAAGATGTATAGGCAAAATGATTACTTTGTGCTTTATGTATATGATAACAAATTCCACTTTATTCTTAGTACCTATAATTTTATAGCTTATAAATTATTCAATTTATGTTGAAATTATAAAATCTCAATAACACATTGAAATTATTATTTTAAAATCAATGTAAAACTTGTTATGAATTGATAGAAAATTTTGGATACTTGCCAAATGAAATATAAAGAACCTAGAACAAAGAAAAATAAAATAAGTAGCCATGCTGCTTGCTTCTAAGGGAATTACCCATTTTGCCTAATTCTGTGAGTTCATGTGGGCTTTTCACTCCAAGACCTAAATAGGTAAAAAAATTTCACTCATGTTTATCCTGATATTGTCTCACTGTTCTCAATATCTCTGTTTCCAGATTTTCCTATTATCTTGTGCTTTGGGGGTTGAATTATGGAGATCAATGAAGCCAGTGTGGAACTTTTGCATTAAGAAACTTTGGGTGACCATTCTAGAACCTTCATCCAGTGACTGTTAGAAGCAAAGACAGATACCCACAGCTAAACGCTGAACTGAACTCCTGGAACCTACTGGCAGAGATGAAGGAGTGATGAACAAAGGGGTCAAGACCATGATGGTGAAACCCACAAAGACAGCTGACTGGATAAGGGGGAGTTCTTGAATCCCAGACTGATGGCTGAGAGACCAACATGGAACTGACCCAGACTCCATGAATATAGTGCAAATGAGAAGGCCACAGAAATCACTGGGGCCTTGGGTAGTAGATCAGTGTTTACCATGGTATATGAATGATCTTTGGGAGCCCATTCCAAATAGAGGGATGCTCTTTCAGCCTGGACACATGGAGAAAGGACTAGGACCTACCCAGGATGAAATGGCAGACTCTGGAGATCCCTCCAAGGAGAGCCTCACCCTCCTTGGGGAATGATGTGGGGATTGGGTGGGGGGTTGGGAGCTGGTGGAGGGACAAGGGATGAGGGGTGGGAGAGGGAGCTGGCATAGACATGTGAAGCATTCATGTTTCTAATTTAAATAAAAACATATTGAGGAAAAAAAGAAACTTTTTGTGAGTAGTTAGTCTTTTCTGTTTATGCAATATCTTAAAGTTAATACAAACTTCCTTTTAATGATAAAGGCACAGCTACTTGATAAGCAATAGGATAACTCAAAAAAATCTGCTTGCATTTGAGGAAAAACAAAAGTGAAAATTTCTATACTAAGTTAACAAGAAATTTCTATGAGAAACAGTCAGGAAAGAAAGAATGAAAAAGGCAAGGCAATAGTAGTGGATTGTGCATAGCTCCTTGGCATAAATCTTGTCCATCTAAAAACAAAGACTTCATGAAAACATGAAGAAAGACTGTAAGAATTGAGGAACATTTTGATGGGGCTGCCTCATTGAGCAAGTCTGTGTGCAGTGCTTTTCACAAGAAGGTGTCTTTCATGTAAATTAGAATATGAATGACCCTTGTTGTGAGGAATAATGTACAGCATGAAATTCCTATGTTGTGTCCCTGATGACAGGGTTGTAGATACTATAATTAAAAAACAGTGTTCTACTAAATAGAGAGTTTTCAATAGGGGAGTCTAAAATGGCTGAGAGGCACTTGAGAAATTGCTCACCATCCTTAGCCATCAGGGAAATGCAAATCAAAACAACTCTGAGATACCACCTCACTCCTGTCAGAATGGCTAAAATCAAAAACACCAATGACAATTTATGCTGGAGAGGATGTGGCCAAAGGGGGACACTCCTCCATTGCTGGTGGGAGTGCCAACTGGTTCAGCCACTTTGGAAATCAGTATGGAGATTCCTCAGAAAAATGGGAATAAACCTACCACAAGACCCAGCAACTCCACTCTTAGGCATATATCCAAAAGATGCCCATTCATACAACAAAGATGTCTGTTACACTATGTTCATAGCAGCTCTATTTGTAATAGCCAGAACTTGGAAGCAACCTAGATGTCCCTCACCCGAAGAGTGGATAGAGAAAATGTGGTACATCTACACAATGGAGTACTATTCAGCAGAAAAAAATAATGGAATCATGAGATTCGCAGGCAAATGGATGACACTAGAAGAAACCATCCTGAGTGAGGTAACCCAGTCACAAAAAGAGAAACATGGCATGTACTCTCTCATATATGGATTATAGACATAGATCTGGGGAGTGCCAGCCTACAATCCTATGGCCAGAGAGTCTGGGAAACAGAAACTTCATTTAGTGGCTGATCGAAGAAGAGGCAGACTCCCTTGGTTAAGTACTGAGCTGAACTCAAGCAAGCCAGTAACAGAGAGGGAGGACTGATGACCAAAGGGATTAAGACTGGGCTGGTTTAACCCCCAGAAACAGCTGACCAGACAAAGGTTAACTCTTGAATCCCAGGCATCAGCCTGGGAATACAGCATGGCACTGATCAAGACCCCCTGAATCTGGGTGTCAATGAGGAGGCCTAGGGAATCTATTGAGCCTTGGGCAGCAGATCAGTACCCATCCCAAGTATACACACGGACTTTGGACTCCCATAGAACAATGTGAGGTGCACTCTCACCCTGAACTCTTGGGGAAGGGTCTAGGCTCTGCACTATATGAAATGACAGACTATGGACACCCCCATGGAGGGCCTCACCCTCCCTGGGGGAATGAGGGGATAACGGGGGGGGGTGTTGGGGGGAGGGCACGGGAGGAGGGGAGGGAATGGGAGAGGGACCTGGAACTGACTTGTGAAGCAACCTCGTTTCTTATCTAAATTTAAACTGGAAAATAAAATTTAAAAAAAGTACAAATTAATCTGAAAAAAAAGATTTTTTTCTAGTTCCATCCATTTACCTGCAAATTTTATGATGTCATTGTTTTTTCCTTTTTTTTACTGCTGAGTAGTACTCCATTGTATAATGTGCTACATTGTCTTTATTATGTCTTCAGGTGAGGGGCGTCCAAGTTGTTTCCAGATTCTGGCTATTACAATTAATGCTTCTATGAACACAGTTGATCTAATGACTTGTGGTATGTGAGTGCATCCTTTGGGAATATGCCCAAGAGTGGTATTACTGGGTCTTGAGGTACATTGATTCCCAATTTTCTGAGAATCCACCATACTTGATTTCCAAAGTGGCTGTACATGTGTGCACTCCCACCAGCAGTGGAAGAGCGTTCTCCTTATTCCTCATCCTCTCCATTATAAGCTATCATTGGTATTCTTGATGATAGTCATTCTGGCAGGTGTAAGATGGTATCTGAGTTTTTTTATTTGCATTTCCCTGATGACTAAGGATGTTGAGTAGTTCCTTAAGTGTCTGACAGCCACTTGAGATTCTTCTGGTGAGAATTCTCTGTTTAAATCTGAACCCAATTTTTAAATTGGATTATTTGGTATTTTGATGTCTATTTGGTATTTTGATGTCTATTTTGTTTCTTGAGTTATTTATATTTTGGAGATAAATCCTTTTTCAGATGTGGGGTTGGTGAAATTCTTTTCCCATTCTTTAGGCTGCTTTTTTGTCTTGCCAACAGTGTCCTTTGCCTTAAAGAAGCTTATCACTTTCAGGGGTACCATTTATTATTTGTTGCTCTCAGTTTCTGTGCTACCAGTGTTATATTTAGGAAGTGTTATTCTGTGCTCATGCGTTCAAGGCTTCTTTCCACTTTATCTTCTATGAGGTTCAGTGTGGCTGGTTTTATGTTGAGGTCTTTGATCCATTTGGATTTGAATTTTATGCACGGGGTTATATATGGATCTATTTGCATTCTTCTACATATTTACATCCATTTATGCCAGCACCAGTTGTTGAAGATGCTTTCCTTTTTCCATTGTATAATATCAGCTACTTTGTCAAATATCAGATGTTCATAAGTATGTGGATTAGTATCAGGGTCTTTAATTTGATTCTTTTGATCTACTTGTCTGTTTTTATGCAGAAACCAAGTTGTTTACATTACTGTAGCTCTATAGTAGAGCTTGAAGTCAGTAATGGTGATGCCTCTGGAAGTTCATTTATTGTACTTGATTGTTTTGGCTATCCATGTTTGTTTGTTTTTCCATATGAAGTTGTGTATTGTTTTTACAAGGTCTGTGAAGAATTGTGTTGGAATTTTGATGAAGATTGCATTTGAATCTGTAGATTGCTTTTGGTAAGACTGCCATTTTTATTATGCTGATCTTCCCTATCCAAGACCCTGGGAGATCTTTCCATTCTTCTTTAATGTCTTTCTTTAAAGCCTTGATGTGTTGCCATACAGGTCTTTCACTTCTTTGGTTAGAAATTTCCCCCATATATTTTATGTTATATCCAGCTATTGTAAAGGGTGATTGACTCAAAAAATCTGTAGCCATCCTATATACAAATGATGAAAGGGTTGAGAGAGAATTTTTTGGATTTAATATTTCCTTTGACTGATGAAGTTATTGACTCTATTGTATCTCCAACTCCGGAGATTCTTTCCTCCATCTCTTGTGTTCTGTTGGTTATTCCTGCATCTGTAGTTCCTTTACCCAGATTTTTCACTTCCAGAATTTCCTGTGTGTTTTCTTTGTTGCCTCTATTTCAATTTTCATGTCTTGAACAGTATAAACTTTTTGCTTCACCTGTTTGATTGTTTTATTTCTTGACTTTCTTTAAGAGATTTACTGATTTCTTGCAATTTTTGTTTGTATTTTCCTCCATTTCTTTAAGGGAATTTTCCATTTCTTCTTTAATTGTCTCTGTCATCTTCATGAAATTATATTTAAGGTCATTTTATTTTGCTTCTTTTGGGTTAGAATGTTCGAGCCTTCCTGTTGTAGGACCACTACATTCTGTTGTTGCCATATTGGTCTTTAGGGTTAAAAAAGAAAGAAAGTGAGAATATTCTTTATAAACTTTTATTATTGTTAGAGTCCTCAACTTTTATCATTAGTAACTGTAAAGCTCCATTAAAAATCATGACACAGTCTGCCGGGCGTTGGTGGCACATGCCTTTAATCCCAGCACTTGGGAGGCAGAGGCAGGCGGAACTCTGTGAGTTCGAGGCCAGGCTGGACCGACAGCCTCCAAAACAGAGAAACCCTGACTCGTAAAACCAAAAAAAAAAAATCATGACACAGTCACTTAAGGTAGCATTCAATACAAATATTGACCAGTGCATTACACTGGATCCTCTTTCTTAACATACCTTCTTGCATTGGAGATTTTTCTCCTCCCTTCAGGATAAGGGTTAGAATTAATTTCCCAAATTAGCAATCATGGCCCATCCTTTCAAAATCTTTTTCTGAATTCAGTATTCCATAGGTAACATTGGCTCACCTTACTATGAAAGTCTCAAAATGCTTTTTAGTTTAGTCTCTTTGCTTTTGGCATCTGGAGCTGAGCATGTGGTAAAAGTCAAAAATTAAAGAGCAAGTAATAAAGTGGTCCAGCCAGCTTGGCTGTAACTGTCATTCCAGCTGGGACCTAGTGCTTTTGAAGGAAAATCTTAGTTCATCTCTGCTCAGATGACTATGGTTCAGCCTCGGAGGAAAGCCTGGTGAAGCAAGAAGAGGTGTCCTGATACGTGATTCACCTATGGATTATGCT